TTTGGCAAATATATACAGGTCACCATTTTTCACTATTTTCCTACTTATCAAATCGAAACTCACCATAATTTATTACGGAGTACGTTTTAATAAAGAAACTACGGGTATGTTTGGTTGGAGGTAGCTAACACTGTGTTTGGATGGAGGGAGGTAGAGGTAGAATAAGGTAAGATTAAAAGTTACCTTGTTTGGGAGAGGAAATAGAGGTAGGTAAATGGAGGTGAGGGAAGGTAAAGCAACCGCGTAACAGTGCAATATACACGCCCGCCGATTGTGCGGTCAGGTGAGGTAAAATTTACGCCTTCCTTTCCATGCCCTTCTCTTTACTTCTCTTCCGTTTTTTTCTTCCACTCCAGCGCAGCTCTCCCTGGCCTCCTCCCATCCACGGTTCTTCTTCTTTTTCTTTTTCATCTTCTTCTTTTCTTCTTCTTCTTTGGATCTCAAATCATTATCTGCCATGGCTTATCTTCATATCCGGTAAGGTTTTTATACTTTTTTTGCCATTTAAAGAATGCGTTTTTTCTCTTTTTTTTCTGTTTTTTTTTCTTTTTTCCAGATTTCTTTTTGTCATTTATTTTTTGACATTTTTCTGTTTTTATTTGCTATTTGTTAAAATTGGATCTTTGAAATTGATGTAAAAGAAATTCTTTTCTGTATTTTTTTGTTTGTTGAATTAGAAAGTTTGAAATTGATGCAAGGAATTTTTTTCTATATTTTTTTGTTTTTTGTCTAAATAAATTTTCGAAATTGATGTTAAAAAAAATTTGTATTAATTTCAATTTTTCTTGAAGTAGAATGTTTGCAATTGATGCCATTTTTGTATTTTTTTCGATTTTTCTTTCTCCCCACTTATTCAAACCCTTTCAACTTTTTTTCACATTTTTTTGCTATTTTTTTCTTTTTTTTCCTGTTTTTTATTAATTGAAATATCATGCTTTGACTTTTTTCCCTGGTTTTTTATGGTTTTTTTTTCGGTTTTGATTTTAAGCTTTTTGGGTTTTTGCTGTTTTCCCTTTTTTTTGTTTTATTTTTTGCGATTTTTTTGTTTTTTATGTAAAAAAAACAAGGGCATATAAGTAAATTTGTTATTCTACCTACCTCACATTACCTAATAAGCATCCAAACACAGTTTTTAACTCGTTACCTTACTTTACCTACCTTCAATTACCTTTCATTACCTACCTAATAAACATTTTACCTACCTCCAACCAAACATACTCTAAAAGTTTTATTAGGTAGGTAATGGTAGGTAATTGAAGGTAGGTAAAGTAAGGTAATAAGTTAAAAAATTGTGTTTATTACTCCGTACATGTTTATTAGGTAACGTAAGGTAGGAAAAGAATAAAATTACTAAAATATCCTTGTGGTTGTAATTTTATTTTTTAGGATGTATTCATATGAAATTACCTTTCACATTACAGTATATTTTTACTAGTTTTTTCCCCGTGCTTTGCACGGGCTTTTATACTCGTACGTAAAATATATATACAAAATTATTTTTACATCAATTCTAAACATTTTTTATTTAATTTATTAGAATTTATTTAAATTTTAAATATAAAATTTTAAAATTAAATAAGCACTCTAAGACGAAACTTCTAAGTAACATCATTTACGTGAAACCTTAATTTTTTAAACTGGGTGGCGTTGAGTTTCGAACTCGTGACCTCTTGATTATCAAGGTTCCGACACTATGTCAAGAAACCAACTCAACCAAAATTTCAATCTTGTGATTGTGGTTCAATAACAGTTATTTATATTCTAACAGGAACCCAGTTCCTTTGCTGACGACTTGTGGGCTGGCCCCATCGGAAGTAGCAATTCCCCGCTCATCCTCGTGGCAATTCCACATAATATTCTCTTCGTTCCCCTATAATGCTTTAGTTTGATTTTTTAAAATCAAAATATACCAATTTTATTTATGAATTACTCGTAATTTATCCTTCATATTAATTAATATAACAAAATATAATTTTGAAAACTTCTCAACAATATAAATCTAATTAAAATTATTATTATTATACTAATACTTCATATATGTATATTACAAGTTTTATATTATCGAGATCTAAAGTTTGTCGGTTCGTCCACGTTATTTAGGATTGATTTACTTAGTTATATATTACTGGCCTGGTGTTTTGATTCATTTATTTTGAAAGAAATGATTTTTTTTTGCACAGTAAATCACAAAAAGAAATGATTGTGTATGGAGTATGGAGATACTCCGTACTTTGTAAATGAAAATTTAATCACCAAATTCATTACGCCGTAGTTTAAAGATTAAGATTTATGAAGATTTAGTTGTTCCTAAAAAACATATAATTACTACGTAGTTGTTGAACAAAGGTCCGTAAAATCCTAAGAACAAAATTTAACTCGTTCCATAATGCACGAGACGAAACAAAATTTTTGTTGAATATAAAAATTTTCTTCAATTTTTTAAGATTATATTCTTTTGGATTCTAATACTTAGGATATGTTTGGTTAAAAGAAAATTACGGAGTATTTTTTTGAAAGATTACAACTCTACTGTCAAGGAACCAACTCAACCAAAAGCTCAAGCTTGTGATTGTGGCCCAGGAACAGTTATTTATATTCTAACACGCCCCCTCACGTGCAGACGTAGTCTTTTTTCGAGCCTTGCACGTGAAACCTTAGTTTTTTTTAAACTGGGTGGCGCTGAGTTTCGAACCCGTGACCTCTTAGTCAACGAGCCTCTGATACCATGTCAAGGAACCAACTCAACCAAAAGCTCAAGCTTGTGGTTGTGACCCAGGAACAGTTATTTATATTCTAACATGGCCCAGGAACAGTTATTTATATTCTAACATTTACTTTTACATTTAGATTGCATAGGTGGAGGAAATCATTTTTTTTGGAAAAATAATTTCTCTAGGAGGAGAAAATGAATTTTTTGTAGGTTTTGGATGAAAGTTCATTTTTTATTCAATCCTCAAATACTTTAATTTCTCGGTCGAGTTCATCCCCCCGCCCACCCCCATCCTCTCCCCCTCCCCCGCCCCCGACCACCTCTCCCTCCGCCCGCCCCTTAAAGAATAGAGCACTATAAAAAAGATTTGAAATTGATCGTGAATAAAAAAATAAACTATGCCCCCCTAAAATATTTAAAATTATCACAAAATATCTTTGTTTTTTGATCAAATATCAGCAATGTTTCAATAATAAAGTATGCGTGGGAGAACGATTTTTCATGAAACTTATTTTCTCTTAGAATAATGGTCTAGACAGATATTTTGACACTTCTTGGGGCAAATTTGATTGAAACTTTGTGACGAACATAACATAAACACCCAAAGACACGAAGATGACTCAAATCACACGATTTAGAAGATAAAATTTCAAGAGGTGACTTACCCCCGAGAAGTGGAGTTGGAGTGCGATTGATAAGATAAATGACAGTTTTAACACATTCATCCCAAAACTCAATAAGAAGAGACGCTTGAAACATTAGAGCTCGTGCCACATTTAAGATATGGTGATGTTTACGTTCTATGTGACCATTTTATTGTGGGGTACCTAAACATGAAATTTGAACACAAACACCCATTGTATCATAGTATTGACGTAAAGGCATTTAGAAACTCACTTCCATTATCAGAACCAACAACTGTGGCCATTTGTAATTTTGTACTTACGGCCTCCTATGTAATCAGGAAGTGGCAAAAATGGACAAATACAATTAGATAATAAAAATATTTCATGAATTGGCTACTGCGTTAGGTTCCTAATGAATGAGTGAGTTCTCAAAACCATGAAAAAATTTAATCAATTTCTGGTGTTTGATTGAAAATTTAGAAAAAAGAAAAAAAACCTACTCGTACACTGTGTTTGTTTGGAGGTAGGGGGAAGTACAGAGAGGTAAATTTAATATTTTACCTTGTTTGGTTACAAAAATTGAGATAGGTCAAGGGAGGAGATAGAGGAAGGTAGGGTGGGTTATCTCTCAACAGTAGATTTTAGGTTTTAGGTGACCGCCAATTTGGCGAAATATGAAGGTAAACCCATCGCCATCTTCACCCTTTCCGTCGTTCGCAGAGCAGGGAAAACGAATCATCATCTTCACCCGATCGACATGACAGGTATTTCGGCCCTGCTTCCTTTTTTTTTCAGCCGATCTAATTTAGCCGCGTTGTCATCTTCACCTATGCCCTGCATTTTCGGCCCATCTTCAATTTTCACTCTTTTTTCATTGCCGATTTGATCATTACTTAATTTTCACTTTTTTTTTTCTATTTCTTTTTTGTGGTTTTTTTTCCATTCTTTTTTCCCTGCTTTTTCTGGTTATTTTTTCTGTTTCTTCTACAATTGTGTAATTTTGAGTACTCTGTTTTTGTATGACAACAAAATTTGTATTAGTTGCATTTATATAAAATGATGTCACTTAGAACTTAGAAGTTTCGTCTTAGAGTGTTTATTTAATTTTAACATTTTATATTTTAAATTTAAATAAATTCTAATAAATTAAATAAAAAAATGTTTAGGATTGATGTAAAAATAATTTTGTATATATACTTTACGTACGAATATAAAAACCCATACAAAGCACGGGGCAAAAACTAGTAAAAATATATAAATATTTATTCATTTTTATTCTCCTCCCAAATCACCTCCTTTCAACTCATTTCCTCTCCAATTTTCTTCACCAGACTCTAATTATTCTTCAACTTTTTCACAATATTCTTTTTTTCATGTTACCTACCTATTGGCCGGTATAGAAAAAACATAAAATGCAATAGACCAATAACGAAACAAAAGCATTTCCAACTCATCATTCTGTTAAGTTTTTCCATCAACAACGTACCTAACCGTGATCTAAAATGCACGCATATAATATTTAAAAGTAAAATTATTTTTGGCAAATTACTACTCCCTCCGTTCTCAAAAACACTTCCTCTTTCATTTTTTTTCACTTTCAACAAAACACTTCCACTTTCTATTAAAAAACCACTTTTACCCTTACTTTTTCATATCCTACCTATCACATCATACTTTATTTCTTATAATCTATCCATCACATCTTATTTTTACCTATCACATCAAGGGCAAAATTAGAAGTCAACAACAATTTGTCAAAAGAAGAACACTTCTGGCGGCCCTATTATTTTGCTCCCCTATGACCACGTAAAAAAACCGAAACAACGGCCAAAACCACAACAGTGAGTACCCCTGTCAAAGTCCACCCCTTATCTTCATGGTTCTTTCCTTTCTTCTTTCCTGATGAAGACGACAACAACCGGGGAATGGCCACTTCTGGCGGGGCCAGCCCGCTTGTCGCCAACGAAGGGTTCCCTCCGAACGACGTAGGAGGAAACCTTTCGAGCAGAGACGGGGGGACGGGCCCACTGAAACCGTTGTTGCTTAGGTTCAAGCTCTTGAGGCGCGGGAGGAGGCCCAGACCCCACGGTATGGGCCCCGCCAAGAAGTTGTTCTCCAGGTGCAGCGTCTCGAGCGCATCCAGTCTCCCGAGCGTTGTGTTTTCCGGTATGGAACCGCACAGCCCGAAGCCGGATAGTCGGAGCTCGGCTACCCGGCTTCGGTCCGAGTTGCAGGCCACGCCGGCCCAAGAGCTACATATTGGGTCGGCGGGCTTCCACCCGAGCCCATGGGGAACCACAAAGTCGAGAAGGGCTTTTTTGTCTTTGTCCAGATCTGATGATGCCATTGCTACTTCTTCTTGGAGGAGGAGAAGTAATGAAAAGATCATAGGAAGAAACATGTTGGAGAATATATACTCCGTATATATCTTCTTCACCTAATAATTAAAGACTCGATCAGCTCCAATAGTTATATTCTTAGGGGCTGCATGCCGATAGAGATTAATTACACTGCGTATTTATAACCAAATACTCCGTATAATGTGAAGTTTGTCCTTGCTTACGTTAACTTGCTTACTTTTGCACATCTCATTAAACGGTTTTACTCCCACCTAAAATATCTAAAATATACCCCACTATGTAGTTTATTGCAGGTAGAAGTTGTTTTAGGGGTATTTTAGACATTTTAGGTGGGATAGAAGTATTTTATGAGATGCGCAAAAAATTAAAACGGAAGTGTTTTGTGGAACGGAGGGAGTAATACCCTTCCTACCCTATCTTTCTTCCTCTTTTAATTTTGAAGGTTAACTTTTTTTTCTTACTTTAACCAAAAATAATGGAAAAAGTATATTAAATTTGTAGGAAAATATGGTGGAGGAAGAACGCTGCAGAGCAGCATTGTTAAAGTGTCATCACGCATCGAAAGTTCAAGAGTAAAATAATTGGTATTTAAACTCTTGAGTTGAACTAAGTGATCAATTGGATTCAATCTTTTAATGTAGTTCAATCCAAGTGTCTTATTGATCAATCTAGTTGTCCTTACCCCATCCTAAATTCTATCATGGTATCGGAGGAGATTTTGGCTCACCTCGTTTGTCAAGGTGTCCGTCTAGACGTTCATTCCTAGTGGCCCGTTAGTCTATAGCCCAGTATAAATTAGATTAGAGACCGTGAAAAGTCAAATAAAAAGAAAGATATGAAACGGGGAGAGTAATACTTATCTCATCTTGTACTTTTCTCTATATATTGACCATTTACGTGATGCCCTCACACTAGTTTATTTTACCAAGTTTCTATGTAGCGATGACTAAAAAATTGTAAAATTTGCATAAAATAGGACTAAAAGATAAGTCATTTTCCAATTTAGGACTTAAACTTTTTTACAGTATTTCCCAAATATGATTTAATAATGTCTAGTGTGAGGAATAATTCCCAGTGATAATGGACATTGATTTGAATAATGACTAATTGATACTGACCAAAGGTCCTACATTGGTAAATAAAAACATATGGTCCTATATTAAAAAAGTTATTATGTTTTAGTCCTATTTAGGTAAATTTCTCTAAAAAAATTTGATAAGTGAAATCATATTTAGATAATTCGAACTCATAGTATGAACGAAGATAAATATTTCTTACTAAGTCATATACTCCCTCCGTCCCTAAATAAAGTTCCTCTTTCGTTTTTTCTTTGTCCCTAAATAAACTTTTCTTTTCCCTTAAAAACCCTTTTACCCCTTACTTTTTCATACCCTACCTATCACATCATACCTTTTTACTAATAATCTACCTATCACATCTTACTTTTACACATCACATCAAGGGTATTTTTGGAAAGTCAACACAAAAATATCCCTCCCTTAAATCTTCAAAAAGTCAAAAATGGAACTTTATTTAGGGACGGAGGAAGTATAATTTGCACATTTTCAGTAATTTTGATTGTAGACAACTAGCCTACACAAATTCATTTATAAAGAGTCAAAAGTGGACGCATGAGTACCGGAAAGTATTTTCTTAATTTACGGTGTATGTTTAGCTTTTTCAAAAAGCTCAAACTTGTGATTGTGGCCCAGGAACCGTTATTTATATTCTAACAGGAATCCTTCGCGGAAGACTAGTGGCCTGGCCCCAACGGAAGTAGCAATTCCCCGCTGATCGTCGTGGCCCCAATTCCACATAATATTCTTTTCGTTCCTCTATAATGCTTTAGTTTGATATTTTAAAATCAAAATATACCAATTTTATTTATGAATTACTCGTAATTTGTCCTTCATATTAATTAATATAACAAAATATAATTTTGAAAACTTCTCAACAATATAAATCTAATTAAAATTATTATTTTTATACTAATACTTCATATATGTATATTACAAGTTTTATATTATCGAGATCTAAAGTTTGTCGGTTCGTCCACGTTATTTAGGATTGATTTACTTAGTTAAATATTACTGGCCTGGTGTTTTGATTCATTTATTTTGAAAGAAATGATTTTTTTGCACAGTAAATCACAAAAAGAAATGATTGTTTGCGTATGGAGTATGGAGATACTTTGTAAATGAAAATTTAATCACCAAATTCATTACGCCGTAGTTTAAAGATTAAGATTTATGAAGATTTAGTTGTTCCTAAAAAACATACTCCGTATAATTACTACGTAGTTGTTGAACAAAGGTCCGTAAAATCCTAAGAACAAAATTTAACTCGTTCCATGCACGAGAGAAACAAAATTTTTGTTGAATATGTTAAATATATTCTATATTTATGTTAAATATATATTCTGTATTTATTGTATGTATATTGTTTCCTATTGTAGAATCCTACCATGATTAGGATTAGGAATAGCTTGTGTATATAAACACATGTACTCCCACATTATTGTTTAAGGAAATTCATAATTCTTCATGGTATGAGAGCCATAATCTCTCAACCCAAAAACCCTAACCCTACCCGTGCTCTCTCCCTCCCTCTCGGCGTGCTTTCTCCCAGCGCCGCACACCACGCACCCGCCGTCCTCCTCTCCTCGGCGGCAGCAGCAGCGCAGCACAGCCCCTCTCTTCCTCGGCGACGACAGCACCTTCTCTTCTCAAATATGGCTTCCTCTGATAAAGCCTCAGAAAACTCAACCTCTTCCTCCTCCTCGAATGCTCCTCATCTTGCCTTCACAACAATCTCCAACGTCAAGCTTCATGTCCCGATTCAGCTCAGCTTCTCTCAGCCCCACTACAAAAAGTGGAGTCGGCTCTTTCTCCTCCTGGTGCGCCGATTCACCCTCCACGGCTTTCTCTCAGGTTCTACCACTCCTTCTTCTGCCGATGATGATGAATGGTACCAGCTTGACGCCCTGATCCAAGGTTGGATTCTCTCTACCATCACTGACAAAGTTTCAGATCTGGTCATCTCCACCACCACCACCGCCGCTGAACTCTGGCAGGTTATTCATGCTCTCTTTCATGACAACAAACATGCTCGGGCGATGCAACTCGAGCACCAGTTTAGAACCACCATCAAGGGTTCGATAACCATGGCCACTTACTGTCAAACTTTGCGAAACATTGCCGATTGGTTGGATGATGTTGACGCTCCGGTCTCTGAGCCTCAACTTGTGCTTCAAATGCTTCGTGGGCTACCCGACGATCTCCAGGCTCAGACATTGTTCTTGCAATTCCAACAACCGCTGCCCACGTTCCTTCAGACCCGATCCGCTCTCATGCTCCTTGAACGGCAACGACAAACCATCATGGACGACGCCGACACGGCGCTCATAGCTGGCCGAACCGCCAGCTCACCATACGGCGGCGGTAGCGGCGGCTTCGGGCGCAGCGGTGGGACGGCCGGCAGTGGGCAAAACGGCAGCAGCGGCGGCAGTCGCGGGCAGCAGGGGCGCAACTCCGGTCGCGGTGGAGGCGGCCGTGGACGTGGACGAGGAAGAAACTCTGGTTCGCAACGACACCCGTATGACGGCTACGTACCTTGGAACTCACCGCATCCCAACCCGGGCTCGGGTCTCCTCGACCCGCGTCCACCCTACCCAACCCAACCCAATGCCCATGCACACTACACCTACACTCCAAACACCCCACCCCAGCCCTACGGCCAAA